GTGATCGTAGCGCTACGACAGTCGTAAGTCTATGTTAAAGTATAGGAGTTACGATCACCTTAGCGCAACGACAGTCGTAAGTCTATGTTAAAGTATAGGAGTTACGATCACCTTAGCGCAACGACAGTCGTAAGTCTATGTTAAAGTATAGGAGTTACAATCACCTGAGCGCAACGACAGTCGTAAGTCTATGTTAAAGTACGCGAGTTACAATCATCTAAGCGCTACAACTGTCGCAAGTCTATGTTAAAGTATGACAGTTACGATCACTTTAGCGCTACGACAGTCTTTAGTCTATTTTAAAATATGATAGCTACGATCATCTTGGCGCTACGACAGTCGTAAGCCTATGTTAAAGTATGGGAGTTACGATCACCTAAGCGCTACGACAGTCGTGAGTCTATGTTAAAGTATGGGAGTTACGATCTCACTTTAGCGCCTCGACATTCCTAAGTCTATGTTAAAGTATGGCAGTTACGATCACTTTAGCGCTACGACAGTCGTAAGTCTACGTTAATGTATAGAAGTTACGATCACCTTAGCGCTACGACAGTCGTTAGTCTACGTTAAAGTATAGAAGTCATGATCACCTTGGCGATACGACTGTCGTATGTCTACGTTAAAGTATAGAAGTCACGATCACCTTGGCGATACGACTGTCGTATGTCTACGTTAAAGTATAGAAGTCACGATCACCTTGGCGATACGACTGTCGTATGTCTACGTTAAAGTATAGAAGTCACGATCACCTTGGCGATACGACTGTCGTATGTCTACGTTAAAGTATAGAAGTCACGATCACCTTGGCGATACGACTGTCGTATGTCTACGTTAAAGTATAGAAGTCACGATCACCTTGGCGATACGACTGTCGTATGTCTACGTTAAAGTATAGAAGTCACGATCACCTTGGCGATACGACTGTCGTATGTCTACGTTAAAGTATAGAAGTCACGATCACCTTGGCGATACGACTGTCGTATGTCTATGTTAAAGTATGGGAGTGGCTGTTGCTACTTGTACTGGTCCAGGTGGGGTGAGGTGAAATTGGGTTTAACGTCGCGTCCAAGATTATTGCACTTATATAGCGACGTACATGCACGTGTGTGCGTGGCTGCTTGTACTAGTCCGGACTGATGCCGTTTTAAAGTGCTAGCTCACTGAGATACCATGCCGCAGTTTAACATGAATACCCCACTCAGACACAGTATACTGACTCCGCGCCGACCAGTCCTTGTTTTAGCCCCTTTATACCGAGCGCCAGACAGGGTAACAACAAGTACCATATTTTAACGTTTTTTGGTATGACGCGGCCGGGGATCGAACCCAGACATTCCACTCTCCGGGCGGACGCTCTAAATCAACGTTACCATATCATGAACATTTGTTTATGAATCCATATACGACAGTAAGGATACCAGGTGTTCGCGATAAGGTGAGCATATCCTGCCCCACCGGTTGGCACCCGTCACAAATACATGCAAAGGCAAGTCAGGTGTTCACCCGAAAACACACACAAAAAACTCCCGGACCGAAATTCAATAAAGCCAGGCTCGTTATTTATACGGACTGTCACATCTAGGGGGCACGGGTGGCCCAGTCGTCTTAGGCGCCGCGATTCGCTGTGCAGAGTTGCGTCCCTTGGGCACGCCAGAAACCTATGATTGAGGGTTCGAATCCCGGTTCGTCCCGATTATGTTTCTAGGTTTGTCAGCACCATACCCGTGCTCGTGGGTTTCACCGAAGTGGTAAACGTCTGAGACCTGCATCACTTCGGGCTTTCCTCCCACATTAAGCTGACACGCCGTGATATAACTGGAATACTGTTAAAAGCGGCGTTAAACCAAACTCACTCACTGTCACATCTAGATTTATATATTATGATCATGATTGGAGAAAAGATATCAAAAAGGATATGTGCCTCTAGGGTTTAACTGGCTCTGCGCAATGTCAGCACGGTCCGGTTAATCACATGACCTGGTTGTGATCAGATAAACACTGACTGGTTACATCTAGTTTTCATAATGTCAGCCCACTATTTGAATGTCAGGTCAGTGTGGAAGGGTCACGACTCCCTAGTAACACTGTCATTTGCAACACTCAAACCGCTCTTTTGTAAACCCTCTGCCTGTCCGGAATAATTTTGGATTTCTAGAAGATTTTCTTTTGTTACCAGGCCAAGCAGTTAACGATTGGATTAATTTAAGTATTTATGTGTGTGAGTGAGTATGGTTTTACGCGGCTTTTAGCAGCATTCCAGCAATATTACGGCGGGGGACACCAGAAATGGGCTTCACACATTGTACGTAGTGGCATTAAAACGCAAACTTAGATTCTGATATGAGGTGGTGAAGGAGGAGTGTGTGTATGGGTAGGTAGCAAGTAGGAGGGGGGAGGGGGGGGGGGGGGGGGGGGGGGGGGGGGTATAGGGGGTGTGTGTGTGTGTGTGTGTGTGAGAGAGAGAGAGTGTGTGTGTGGGGGGGGGGGGGGGTGAGGGAGAGGGAGGTGTATGGGGGGGTAGTAGATGTGGGATGAGGGAGGCGTCTGGATGGGTAGATCGGGGTCTGGTGTGTGTGTGTATGCGGTGTTGGGGGTAGATGGGGCGGGGGAATGTATGCTTATGTGTTGGTTGAGGGGGATGGGGTAGGTGCGCGTGTATGGGAAGGTAGAGGGTTGTTTGGGAGATGTGTATGGGGGTTAGATGTGGAAAGTATATGTTTCTGTGTGGGTAGATGAATGTTGAGGGTAGGTGTGTGTATAGGGGTATATTGGGTGGGGGGATTTTATGAGGATGAGGGTGGTGGGGAGGTGGGTGTGTATTTGAGTTGATAAATGGGGTGAAGGGGGGACTTCAGGGGCATAAATAATCTGTCGAATTTATGTTTCTCAAAATTATGTTTCTCCGGCAATACCCAGAGTAAAACCCCGTCCACACCCTTGTCCACCTGCATGCTCTGAAATAATTGTTTTGAAGCGCTGACCGTACGACCTTTCAAATGAGCAAATGTGTCACCGCAATCATAAATACAAATACATACACGGAAGGCATACTGGAACTGATTACAGATGTGTGACAGATAGATGTTTCGATTTTCGGCACAAACGCCCAATATTCATTTGGATGACCTAGCCCAGTCCCACAAAGCGATCTTGACGCTACGACTGTCGCAAGTATGGGAGTTACGATCAAATTATTGCGAAGATCGCTTTGTGGAAAGGGGCCCCTTCCTGTAGTGTCGTACTGAGCCGTTAACCTAGCAATGGTCAACGTTGTGATTTTCCGGCATTCAACGTCTCCTGCTTCTCCTACACTTTGTTTGTCTGGCAAGTTTTGATTGTTTGTTTGTTTGTTTGTTTGTTTGTTGTTTAATGCCGCACTGAGCAATATTCCAGCTATATGACGCGCCGTTTGTAAATAATTGAGTCTGGACCAGACAGTCCAGCCATTGACGTCATGAGCATCCATCCACGCAATTGGGATACGATGACATGCATCAACCAAGTCAGCGAGCATGACTATGATCACACACAGTATACTGACTCCGAGCCGAAAAGTCCCTGTTTTATCCTCTTAATGCCGAGCGCCAGGCAGAGTAACAACAAGTACCATCTTTTAAGGTCTTTTTGGTATGACGCGCTCGGGAATAGATCCACCGGACCTTTCCCTGGAAAAGCAGACGCTCCATCTACTAGACTACAGTGAGTGAGTGAGTGAGTATGGTTTTACGCCGCTTTTAGCAATATTCCAGCAATATCACGGCGGGGGACACCAGAAATGGGCTTCACACATTGTACCCATGTCGGGAATCAAACCCGGGTCTTCGGCGTAACGAGCCAACGCTTTAACCACTAGGCTACCCGACCGCCCCACTAGACTACAGAGGCGGTCTGCATTCGTAGGACCTGGGTGCATAACATTCACGGACAAAACACTGGCAGGTACGTACGTATTTCTAAAAAGTCTCAATCAACCTGAACTCCGGTTAGATTAGACACCTGCTGATTGTACTAATACAATATTAATAATACTATATATAATTATAATAATAATATAATATTGCCCTTATGTAGCGACGTGCATGCACCTCTGATGCCGCTTTATAGTGCTAGCTCACTGAGATACCATGCCGCAGTTTAACATGAATACCCCACTCAGACACAGTACACTACCAATTTACAGTGCTAGCCCCCTGAGATACCATGCCTCAGTTTAACATGGATACCCCACTCAGACACAGTCCCTTAATGCCGAGCGCAAGACAACGTAACAACAACTACCATCTTTTAACGTTTTTTGGTATGGCGCGGCCGGGGATCGAACCCCGGACCTTTTCGCTGTCTCGGCGGACGCTCTACCTCTAGACCACGGAGGCGGTCTTGTACTTCGAAGATCTGTGAGCGAGTGTAAATGTTTCATCTGTCTTGTATTCAGGTGTGTAAATGGGACAAATAAGATATATTTCTATCATTTTGGAGACATTGATTCTGCATTGGTGAGGGCGGTAGGGTAGCCTAGTAGTTAAAGCGTTCGCTCGTCATGAAGAAGACCCGGGTTCGATTCCACACATTGGTACAATGTGTGAAGCCCATTTCTG